AGAGATGTAAAACTTCCATCTCACAGTTATTAAGGCAAAGCTATGTCCCTGAGTGTGTTCTAGATCATTCTGGCTGTGGTAACTGAACATCACTGACTTCAAATGCTTCTTACATTCTCATGTTATCTCAGCATTGTTGTACTTTTAGGTTTACCACAATAACTGCTCCCATGTTTGCTGCCTACTTCTATTAGTAAAAAGGAAACAAAATAAGAAAAGGCGTGCTATTAAGACAATTTAAATTTGCCTTGGCTGCTTTGACAGAGGCAGGTAATCCACCAGTTTTATACATAGCTGCCAGAAAAGTCAATGGACACAGAAAAAGGCTGGCTGGCAGTTGGAGGTAGACTTCTCATAGCTCAACTGCAATCAGAATGTGTTGATAGTCGCAGTTTAGTTATATTTAGTTTTATGTATACTGATTGTGTGCCATTTTTTCTTGAAGATAACTAAAAATTATTTTCTTGCATGTAAGAACACAAGTTCCATTTTTATTTTCTTTACCTTGGACCAGAGCCACTTTGCTCTTTCTATATAAAGTTCCGAGAGCGTCGATTCCCCAGCGTTCAGAAGAGCATTATAGGCAGTCTGGTGATGACCAGCTTTTCTCGCCACTCTAGCACTCTGGAGCCAACACTGACCAACAAGCTCACTGTAATCCTGGCTGCAGAGATATTTTTACAGAAAATGAAAAATTTCAGTCATGAATGCTACTTTATAATCTGAAATAAATATCATGATGTGTTAAAACACAAATAAAATTGCTCAATCAGCTATATACTGCATAACGATCATTTAAAAGTATTTGTCATACGTTTTTTCACCTTTTTTCCATTTTGACCCGAAAAAATCTTTCCCTGTTTCTCCTTATCTTTCCTTTCTTTTCCTTATTCTCCCTTATCTTCCCTATATTCTATTCTCTTTCTCTTCTATTTTGAAGGTACGTAACATTAGAGAGAATTGCTTTCATCTACAATATAAACTTCCACAGAGTTTTATCGTCTCTTTTCTGACACACATATGTAAAACCAGAATATTACAGAGAATACAATGTAGACAAACAAGAAATAGTCTTGTTCTCACCTTTTACTGAGACTAAGCAGAGCCCTTCTCAGTGCTAAAATGGGTTCTTTTGCTCTGTAAGAGTTTTGGGCCATTTCAATACGAGCACACCAATTCAGGGAATCTCTACCATGGTCACCATCTGGTTGCTGAAACACTGGTCCAATACTATGTTCCAACTCACACAGCATGTGCAACCTGTGTTAGCAAAATAAAGGAAAAAAAAACGTTGAAAATTGGTTGCTGTTTGAGATACACGCAAGTTTTACACAGCTTTTGTGATTTTCTTTCTACAAGCTGGCCACATAAGTAATTTCAAACAGTAGGACTTCTTTTAAAAGCAAAATGCAGCAAAACAAAACACATAAAATCAAGGATTTGTAAACTGATTAGTTATTTTCTCCCTATTCATTTGCCAAGCTGCTGAGTGCAGAGACCATGAAGATCACCTGGAGAGGAAGCCCATCTTTAGAAAGAGTATTTCTATCCATTACTTTTAGCAATAATTCTTCAAAAAGCCTGGTATTTTCAACAAATACCATTTTAGAGGCAATATACTATTTATTACTTAAACACCTCCTTTACAATACAGTTAGTCCATTGATTTAAAAACACCATTATTATTAGCTGTCACTGTAAAGCTAAAAAAGCTGAGAGCTTGTAAACCCCTAAGTCCTCATTGGCAGAATCTAAGTGTAGTGGGTGTATCTGACAGAGAAACAGTGACTGAAGGCTTCCAAGAGGCGCAGATTAACAGCTAAATCGAACTATTTTGAAACACTTATTTCTCAATATTCAGACTCCTTTCCTAAATAAAATGACACTGAAAAAATTACCAACTCAAAATAGAAGAAGTAATTAAGAAATACATAGTTCAACCAGTTAGTTTGCAATATCTTGCCATAAGGATGCATTTACAGTGCAGAGGAAGTATTACTCGCTTGTTAGTCTGCTACAGCCAACTTCAAATTTTTTTAAAAAAGAAAAGTAAAACTACAAAGGGATGGGGTTTCAATTTTTACTGCTTTTTGTTGATAAAAGAAGGGAGTGCTTTTAAGCCACCATACAGATTAAAAGCAATGCTCTTCAATTAATGGAATTACTGGCCTATATGTACTACTTCGAGCATGGAATTAAATTGTCGATTTTTATTATCTGATGTTTACATAAGCTTGCTTGCTGATTTTGAAAGACTACACACAACAGTTTTATGTGAATATTTTTCATGGAAGATAAATATAAATTCTCAGTTAATCACAGATTTCCAGTTGGGTAAGTATTAAAAAGAAAAGGTGACAGAAAATGCATGTCAGTACTATTTATTGTGGAAATGGAAAATTCTTGCTGCTGCATACTTAATTACGCGATTTCTGGATTTGAAAAGAGTGACAGGAGAATCAGAAACCTGATAATGTGTTCATATCCACGCTGATAGGATCCTCTTTCAAAGCTTGCTGCTGAAAGGGGTACAATCTGTTCTGCTCGAACAACCTTGAGTGTTTCATAAAAAGCTGCTTCATTTTTCTTCTTGGCAGATAATAATAAATGTCCTAGTCTGACACTCCAAGTTGTGGACTTCAGATCTTTGGGGAGAAAAAAAGCCTCTCAAACTCTATTTCTTTAAGCAGCTCAATCTGAAAACGCTCATTTGTCTTAACATACTACTGGAAAAATAAGTTATTCTCAGAACTTTTGAATCGAATTTTAGAAATCGTGCATAATTCCACCTCACAATCCTCCCCCCTAAACCAATACAGAAGAAATTTGGCCTTACACTCACTTGAAACTTCTACTTAAAGACCAGACAATTTACAATAAAACATATTTACAAGACTAAAAAATTACAATAACTGCCCCTTGATTCAAGATGATTAGACTAAAACATATGATTGTTCAGAAATGCAAGGAAGTATTCATATTTTGATACCATGATAACTTACCTGAAGCCAAATAATTTTCCAGTAAATCCCATTGTGACAGTTTCCAGGCCGCTTCCACTCTGTAAGTGTTCAGTTCAGAAATCCATTCAGATCTATTAAAAGAAAATGAAGGCAATAAAAACTTGTGCTGAACTCAATTTCCCTCCTCAGTATGTCAGTTCTACATTATAGTAGCAAATATTCTTTATGTAAAACTTATCTTACTTGAAGTAAGGTAAACTTGCTTCTAATAAAATTCAGTAAAACCAAAGGATGTGCACTGATAAAAAATAATAGCTGTACAACACAATCGCACAAATTCAATTTCCAAGTAGTGTATTTAACTTCTATGGTACATTTTAAAAATTACCATTTTCCAATCCATTTATCTTATTAGGCTACACAGTAGCTATGGAACAAGTAACATGCAAGACAATAAATAAAAAATGCTATTTAACAAATTAAAGCATGTATCAGCACTTTAACACAGTGCAGACAAGAAGTACTAACATTTTGGGAAGTCTTGAAATTAATTTCAGACAGACAAAGCACTTAAAGTTTTCTAGCTTTGCGTTGCTAACTGGATATGCTTGATGAGCCTCCAATGCTTCATAATGCAACAAAACAGCTACTGAAACAGAGGTGTGACACAAGAGCTTCATATTCCTCAACTAGACATTGTATTAGATGCTTACAGTACCTGTTCGCAAGCACTCCATTGACCTGAGTAATTACAGTAGATAACTGACCGAGGCCTAACATGGACTTCACTACACCATGGTAATGAATAATCTAGAAATAGAGAAAAAACAAACAAACACACACACCCCAAACGAAAAAAGCACACATATACATTCACGAAATTCATGGCAGTCTAAAGGAGGAAGTATGTCCATTTGGATGCTTTTACAATATTAAAAGGAATAACCAATTGCACCATAAGCTAAATGAACATCCAAAATTTAAAAAAAAAAAAACAACAAACTATAGGTAATTTTTGTAATGCATCTCAGCACAAATGTAGTTTGATATTAATTTATTAACAACCATTTCAGAGCTGTGAATAAAATTTGATTTAAAGAAACAAACAACCAACAAGAAGGAAAAAGTCACAAGAAATAACCCCCAAATCCAAAGCAATTTCACTCTTCATAAAAACGTTTTCCATACTCTGGGAATGAAGCAGGGCCATCAAAACATTCTGTTTACTATACCTTTATCAGCTGTGCTAGATAACCTCTGCTTCATAGGAAAGTGCGAGAAACTATAGGGATATCCTAGCCTGGGAAGCTTTTTATCAATCTCCATTAGAAAAGTATTTCAAATACAGAAAGGGTAACACATGTCTTCAACTTTATTTTTGCATTTATCATCACATCTGGATAATCTCTTTGGCATATGAAAAGCATGATGGTTTTCCAGTACTGCTCAGCTTTACAGTACCTTATATATTCCAAATAAAGGAAGGGAAAGGGAAATAGAAGACAAATAATTTTAAGTCTTCTTTAATCATTTTCCAATTGCTGTTATATTATGAACATTTTCCCTGGAAGTCAATAATCAAAAATAGTAAATCAGAAATTGCTTTGAATAAAACCTGAGGTAACTTGCTTTGTTTTCTTGGCATGTACCAGTACTGACTGATACTTAATTAATCCACTTCCAGGTCTTCCCAAGCAAAGACTGAGCTTTAATTGGTAAGCTGTCCTAGCAAAATCCTGGACATAAGCATCCAACTATTAACCCAAGTCTGCCAATTACGGTATAAACGCAGTAAGATTTGTTTCAGTTCATAAGACACTTCCAATAGCAATAAGCATTCAGCAACTGCCACAGTAAATTCTTATGTTCCCATTTTACTTAAATATTCTCAAGAGGTACTTTTGGCTTAGTCTTGTGTTACTTAAGAAGATTTAAAAAATTATAATTACATATATTTTTTTTTAAAAAAAAAGGAAGAAAAAAACCCATTTTGTCTTGTATTTACCTGATCAGGTTCCAGCTGGATAGCCCTATCATAACAGGCTGTCGCATCTCTTAACAAGCCAATACTTTCATGCTCAAGGATTTGTTCTTTGAGAGATGGTTCCGCTTTCCGAATTGCACTCACCCCGGCTACTCCATCTGGCTCATGCATAGCTGCATACAATTTCTTTATTCAAAAGAATAGGAAATAGACATTAAAAACAACGCTATGACATGAAGATATTTTATATGTAACAGTCAGAATCATGCATCTCCTTGAAAATAATGAACTACTCTGTAGGACTTCTTGGCATTAAGTTTTCAAGGAAAATGTAAGTTTTGCAGGGCTGCTTTCAAAGTTGAGTCCTACTTTTGCTTAGCATAATGCAATACTCATGATCTCATACTTCACGAAGAATAAGAAAGAAAAACAGATCAAGTTACCTGAAAAAAATCTGTATAAAGGGCAAAATAAATATCCTATTATTACGTGACAAGTTGTATAATATGAAGCTGCATATTACTTAAGGTGGAAAGGCAACATACTGAGTTTTTCAAATTTGAAACATCACTCAGGGATATAAACCATAAGGACGCACAAACAGGCTCATCCCAGAGCTTAAAACACTTCTTGAAAATAATTTAAATCATTTTCAACACGCTTAGTGTTAGCTCTTTCTTTACAGTACAATAAGCCACTCAGCTTTGCTTCAAACGTGTTTTGGCTTTTTTGGGGGGGGGAGGGTTATTATAGTTGGCTGTGCTTTCTCTGACAAAGGACAGAGTTAACTAAAAGCAATAAATGCTATAATTTCAACAAAAACACATTTAACTATTTTCAGGATTTTACAGTCTTTTATTATACACTAGAAAGCTAGTCCTTCCTTTTCACATAAGTAGCATGCCAAGCAAGGGGAAGTACTAGATGTTGCTGAAAGACGACTAAACACCCCTATCCACAGCAAGAGTCTAACTACATCTTTTCTTCTTCCTGTCTCAAGGAAGAATTAGACAAAGCTTTATTCATCTGTGCCTATTTTCATTTTAAGATAAAACAAACAAAACCCAAAGAGAACTTCAGAACCTGAAGAAATCCAAGATGCTCCTGAATATTTTGTTTCTTCTCTGTGATGAATGATTCAAAGTGCATCACAGCCCTTGTGTAAGCCTTAGAGCGAAAGGAAGCCACAGCTAGCGTATCCTGAGGTATGAGGTCTAGAAAACGTGTCACATTTTGATATTCTCCATAGTCCTCACTCGATGCTATAGAAAAAAAACACATTTTAAAAAGTCTGTCCATTGAGGTTTCATTTATAAGAATTACTTTATGCATCAAAATGCAGTTAATTCAATTCACCATTTAGTGAGATAATGTGATTATTTAATAATATATTTTTCTCTTCTGTCAAGAATAATTAATTTAAACAATCCTGGTGGAATTTCTACATCTTGCAAGACAGCATAGAATATGTTAAACTTAACCTTTAGAAAACTAACAAATTAACAATTTGGTTTTTTTTACTTTAAATCTGCATTTCTTACAATGGTCATTCAAAACAAGGGTTTTGGGGTGGGAGGGCAGAAATCACAATATGATAGTAAGAAATCAGAAAGCAGACTAACATACAGTAATACAGTAATACTGCATTCTTAAATGGTCATAATGTGAAGTGGCAAATTTAAGTATTTATTAGAATGTAAATGCCATTTTAAATAAAATAAGCATCACTCACTCTTTAGATCACTTCTGTCTTTGCTAGATTTGCTAATATTTTTCTCAGCAATAAGCATTTGAAACTTATGTCTAGCCCACTGAGTCAGATGATCAAGCATGGAAAACACCGTCTGTGTGCTCAGCTGACTTAGATCAGATGCACTGTCTTCAAGTCTCCTAGTAGACTGGTCATCGTGTTTCAGAACAGCCATAATCTCCACGTAAACCTACACAAACATTAATATGATAAAAGACAGAAATGCCATACAGGCACCAAAATAGTAGGTAACAGCAATTAACAAAGAAATCAAACTAAAATACTAGATAGTTTAATTGTGTATCTTAATAATTTGGGGCTTATTTGCAAGCTCTGTTTGTCCCACTATCTTAAGAGGAAGAAATGGCAAAGCCAGTAGCAATTGCTGTCAAGAGAATCCATACAGGGAGAAAGCCTTTGAAAAGCAAACCCTTGGAGTACCGGAATTTTAGGTTTCGAAATACAATGAATGCTACTGCACTTCTGCTGCAAATACAACACTTCAAGGTTTGATAAAACTCAACTTATCTACTGGCTACCAGATCACAGAACTACTTTTTGCTTATATTTACATAAATATCGTTCCAAAAGATCTGCTTCCTGTTTGTTTTAGTCAACAGATATGAATTCACATACATAATAGATGCTTATTGTGGATGTACTTGTTCACACAAGAAAAATCATCTCTACACACCCATCATGTCTAAACAGATATCTTAGGTATGAAATTTCAAATTAATCGAATGCAAGTTATATTTTTCAGTCTCTTCAACTGACTGGATCCAGCAGACTGCAGAATTTTTTTCTGTCCTATCCATGCTTTGCTACAAGACATCTATGAATCCTGTTCTGCATTAATCTGGTAGCTAAATAGTTTTTCCACTTAAATTTTAAGTGTATGCAAGCGAGAGAAAACATTAAATGTCTGAATTCTTGAAAGTACACAAGTTCAATCATTTCCTTGCTTGTGCTGCACTCTCTTCCTCTTTGTACCACTCCAGCTCTTGAAGTTGCTGCAGTCATAATTAACTGCATAGTGTCTTGTCCTAGGCCCTACCAAAGAAATAGATGAAAATCCACAGAAAAGTAGTTCAACAAAAACTTGTATAAGTATATTCAAAACACTGGCAGAAAATGCATATTATTAACATAGAAAAAGGAGTTTAGCACCATAAAATTTGTTCATATAGGTCTACAGTAATTTTGCAGAGCTGAACAGTTCTTAGGAAGAACAGCTCCTGAACATTCCTATAAAAAACACTGTCTTCTTATATACCTCACCTCTTGTTGATCCTCTTCACTGCATCCCAACAAAACATAGACAAGGATGTGTGGAAGCAGATAAATTGTCACTTTATAGTCATTCTTCATCATAATACTGCAACAATCGAAAACTTTTCTGGCAAGATCATGTCGCACCTATTAAAAAAAAAATTTCCAGGAAAAGCATCATTACAAAAGTGCAAATGCCTGAACAATTAACAGGTTTCTTTCTGTCGACAAATACAAATTCTATTCCATCAAATAATTTTTAGATATGTGTCTCCTATAGAAGGGTCTGCAGACTTAAACCTGCAACAGGGATGCGAGACAGCAGTTGCTATTACACATATCGGTTGCTGATACCACAAATATAGGCAAGCATTGCTTACATGTTCCACTTTTCCATGTTTTCTACACCACTGTGAACTTGCACTGGCCACAGAAAAAACCTTAAGGCCGAGAGTCTACTACTGCACTCAGCCTCTCTTCTGCCCTTAAAAGTCTGCAAAAAGTAGGAAATTATCAAGACACTCAATTCTTCTCTGTCTGAAATCAAAAGAGGACAGTGTAGCTACTGAGCTATTGTGATTAAATTCACTTCCTGAAGAGGTTAACTTAGAAGTGAAATTTTCAGTGGGTCACTAACATGTTGGAAAGGGGAAAGGAAAGCAAGAAAGTGACAAATACTTTTTATGTGCGGGGACAGTGGAGCTATGGGGAAATGAAAGAAATCCTTCAAAAACTGAGAAGGTAGATTTGAGATTTTCCAGAAGCATTTCAGATGCTTTTAAGAAGCATTTGCCAGTGCCTTCAGCTACACAAGAGTCTCTGAACAAAGGCAAACTTCCTAGACTTTTGGATGTGACACTACCTGTGAAGCCTAGCCAAGAAGCAACAATGCTGGGCAAGGGAAGGTGTGTGGTTACTTTGATGATGCCAGAAGTCTTTAGGTATGGGCTTTAACAGGCCTATAAGAGAATAGGCATATTCCCCCATCCATCCCGGACTTCAAAAAACCAAAATGTAGTTCAAGAACTATGTTGTATATACCAATATAGAGAGCGGATTTATTGTCTTACCTTTGTTACAAGATAACCTGCCCAAGTTGCTGACCATTCTGCAAAATTATCACCTAATTTGCTTAAGTAAATTGGCTTCTTCATCTTAGACCAATTTACAGCCTTTTGATAACTCTTGTACCTGTAATTTTAAAATATCGATTCAATAAAACTAACTTTTTTATTTAATAGAATTTAAAAAACCAATAGCACATTGTTAATTATGAAGTTTCCTAACTGGACTCATATTAGATTTCATCTTCTGAATATTTTATAAAAGTATTAAGAAAATACTTTCAGTAGTCAACATATTTTATTCTTGAGTTTCCCAAAATGAAACATGAAGTACGAGCAACATAACATGCTACCACAATTTTTAAAAATACTTCAAAGTGCTGTTCAAATCAGGGTTTTTTTTGAGTACTATGATTTTGATGGGAAAAACACAGAACATACACAAAAGCCAAGAAATGTCAAATGGTAAAACTTATCACAGATGAGCATGATGGTCTTCGTGAGGAAACAGAAAGGAAACATTGTTCATTATTTCAAATAAGGTACACAGGTAATTTGAAGTTTTCTTCACATTATTTTTGTCATTAATTCAACAAAATAAAAAGTCAGATTAAAACCCAGCGAGCTCTTCTTACTTCTCTAAAGGGCACCAGTAAAGTGATATTAATGGATCTGAGTACGAACTCAAATGCTAGAGAGAATTTGTACAGAGGAAAGAAAACAGAAATAAAAGCTTCAAAACTTCATATAAAAAAAGACAATACTCTAGGTACAAACAGGCAGATCTGGGCAACATATGAGCTCAGAATTTTGTTCTTTTGATTTACAGAGAATTACATTCAAGGAAGTGCTAATTCAGCTTTACATAGAAAGACCTTATTTGAATTTTGTACATACTCTTCCGTGAAGAGCAACAATCACAAAACCAAAAGAAGTTATGGCTAGCGTAGAGGAAAAAGAAGACTTTTTAAAGCTGTTACGCAAGAAAATTGCTTAAGTTGTCAAATACCGTGTATTTAAGTGAGGTTCCAAGATCTCCTGCACGTGCTCAGGAAACCTCCTCCAAAGTCTGGAGCCTGGGCAGTCAGTGTTTGTCTCTCTACAGTCATAGATAGACAATAATTCCTGAAAAGGCATGGTTTAGACGACCGAGTTAGCACAGAAAATATTTCATGATCACAGTGGTAATAAAAACTGGTGTATATACAGAATTTACGAGATAGAAGTTACAGAATGTTTAATTCAGAAATTATAACTGTAAAACTTTCATCCATCATTGTTAATTCCTTATTACTATGCAGTGTTGATTTCACCTAACTATTGATTCTCCAGATTCTCCAGTTGGTGTTTGGACCACGTTATCCCATATTCTTCACATCTGCCAATAAACCAGGACTACAAGTTAGTCCGATTCTTCCTTGTGTATAAGCTAATCAAATTCTCTTACCCCATTGACTACCTGGGGCCACTTATTTTCTCCTGGAGCAAAGAATTGTCCTGAAGTTTTCACAAAGATATTAAAAAACAACAACAAAAACAAAAGTTGGCAAACTAATACAAAAGACTACAGTATGAAAATAAGGGTAGGCTCACTTTCAGTTGCTTCTTAAAAGTGTAAGCAGAAACACTCTTAGGAACGCTTACTGCTTTTCATTTCTGCCTATGGAACATGCACCATTTCTAAGTCAGTCTCAGGATTACTCCTTCAATCACTGTGTATGGACTGTTAGTTACCTCTGAAATGTCGGATTTCTCCTAAGACATTGTGACACAAAAGCAAACAAATCTTCATTTATTTGACAACTCCTCAGAACTTTAAGCTAGCACTGAGCAGTTTAAAAAACTAAAAAAAAAACCTCTATCCTGAATAAACTCTTAATTTAAACTGTAATTTAAAGCTGTATAGGATGAAGTTTCAAATACTTAAACATGTACTTCAAAATGTATACTTCTATTGCATAATTCTATGTTCAGTGTGATAGAAAATTATTTGTGAAGAAAAAATAGGATCTAACCATATATCTTACCTGAATTGCATATGCTGCAGAATCCTGAGCGCGAACATTATCAGCATAAGCAAGGAATGCTCTGGTCAGTTCCATTAATAACCCATAGGCAAAATTTGGATCCTCCACACCAGCCTCAATCAGAAACAGAATGCCAGTTTTAATAAAACAGACAGAGTAATAGCTGTATCTTTAATCTCCAAATGATCACTATGAAGTCTGACTCTAAACTGTTTTAGATGAGAAAGCAAGTACAGATTTTCAAAGGGTCTAAAGAGAAGAGGTTCCCTACTCCCAAGTACTTTTAGAAAACCCTTAATGCTAAACAAAACACAACAGCAACACGTCTTACCACAAACGTAAAATGTTTTCCTTGAGTTTCACTTGTTGAAAAATCCAGCCTGCCGGGATCTATGGCTCCTAGTTCACCCAAACATTCTCCACAAAGTAGTCGGGCTTGAGAATTTGCATCCTGGCAGCCGATTAGAAGTACAGTCACCAACTGGGAGATGACTGGCTCCACAGTTTCACTGTCTGTTACATACTTTATCAATTTTTCCTAAGAAGTTGAAAAACAAAGATGAGTTATTTTACAACTATGCTTACGGCAAACATTCCTGGAAATTTTCCATCTGTAACTTACTCTTACTGCATATTTCATCTACCCATAGCAACTCAAATAGTCATTTTGTACCTATAGCCCAATCAGCCCTAAATTGCTTGCTACCCTAGGAAGGACTAAACAACTGAATGAGAATGAGGGATTTGGGCCTCAATTTATCATGGCCAACATTGTATTTTGTTATCACATACCTCTCTACTAACTTCATTTTCTTTCCTTGTCTTACCAAGAACCTCTCTTCTTTTCCGTGTTAATCTTTTTCACTTATCTGCCCCTTTTCTTCATGTGTTCTGATACTTCCTCTCAATTTCTTTTCATGCAGCTCTTGTCAAACCTCTGGTTTCACTGCCATTTGTATCCTTATTATTTCCTGTTTGTTGGTGATTTCTTCACTTTCAGTTCTTACAAAGCCCAGGGTTTCAAGTCCTTTAATCAATGCCCATCACTTTAATTGGATTTTCTTTCCTTTTCATTTTGGCCCAGCTTTTTTTCCCCCAGTTCCACGTTTAGTCCAAATACAGAAAAAAAATTCTCTTAATAACGTGAAAATGTTTGCCGTTATTAAGTTTAATGAAAACTGAAACCACAGGCAACATAACCGAACAAAGAGTTCCACAAGTTGTAGAACTAATTAAGTTTGATTTGCCTCAATTATTTTGCTAGACTTCTAACTAAGCAAGACACAGCAGGATTTTGTTGACCTCAGCCGCAAGAATTACCGACTGGTCAGGAATATACACAATGATTGCTTGTTCTTTTAGCTAGGATTTTTTTTTTTTTTAGTTTCTGACTGAAGTCTGTCCCACAATCTTACAGCTAATAAGAGGATAGATTTATTTATTTATTTATTTTTAATAGGTCACATACACCCCTCTGGTCTAATAACCATATTAGTAAAGCAGTATCCTTGCAATTTGTACATGGCTGTAAAATTTATTTGAATATAATCAATAGATTCAAATTTTTGAGGATAGAAGGCAAAAAAAAAAAGTAAAAAAAATCCAAAGGTGTGAGATGGTCACTCACATCTTAATTCTTTCAGATATTACACTCACACACAAAAACCACTGGCTTTAGTGTATTAGTCTCCTGATGCAAAAGCTGTGCATCTTCCAACCGAGAACAAGCCCATACAACAGACTGCTGAAACGGACTTCTTAGATACATCTCTCCTCAGAGTTGAAAAAGATAAGAAATACACCACTAGCCTTGCTGAATCAGTACCACACAAATCAGGAGTGTTTGAAAGTCCTCTTACACAGAAACATAATGAAAAAGAATACCTTCTCCCCATTATATGGAGCAACAGCTAGCTTAACAAATTGGAGAGAATAACACAGTTCATGTGAACACCCAGTAACAGTAAGGAGTTTTAGATTGTTGGTCCAGACACTTCTCTGATTTATTTTTAATTCTACTGAAATGATGAGGACAAGGCTGAGGTCCTTAATGCCTTCTTTGCCTCAGTCTTTAATAATAAGGTCAGTAGTTCCCAGGTGAGCTGGCCTATGGTGTCTGAGAGCAGGGAGGGAGAGCAAATCAAAGCTCCTGTGATCCAAGAGGAACGGGTCAAGGATCTGCTTCATCTGCTGGATGCCCACAAGTCTATGGGGCCTGATGGTATCCACCCGAGAGTCCTGAGAGAGCTGGCGGATGTCATTGCCAAACCCCTGTCCATTATCTTTGGGCAGTCTTGGCTCACTGGGGAAGTTCCGCTGGACTGGAGCCTGGCGGATGTTACCCCCATTTACAAAAAAGGGCGGGAGGAGGATCCGGGGAACTACAGGCCTGTCAGTCTGACCTCGGTGATGGGCAAAGTCATGGAACAGGTTATCTTGAGTGCTATGAATGAGCACATACAGGTTAACCGGGTGATCAGGCCCAGTCAACATGGGTTTATGAAAGGCAGGTCTTGCCAATCAAACCTGATCACCTTCTATGATGGGGTGACCCACCTGGTTGATGAGGGAAGGGCTGTGGATGTAGTTTTCCTGGACCTCAGTAAAGCCTTTGATACAGTTTCTCATAGTGTTCTGGT